CTGGTATTTGAGAGAGCAGGGTATAGGGGTTGGATACAACTGGATATAGAGGAATTACTGCCTCATTGATGAGTGTAAGATTTTGCACTAGTCTCCACTGACCGTTTGGTTTTGTACTCCTAGAATTGGGGTGTTGCAGGAACTGCTGCATTTCCTTACTAAGCCTTGAGCTTTTAAATGTTTAACAATATCCTATAATCCTTTTTGAGCTTCAGGCCTTAAGGGATATTGCCTTTGATAAGGAAAAGTGGTGGGTCTCTTAGCCTGATTTTGGACTGGGTGGGCATTTTTTGATCTTCCAAATTGTCCTTCCAATGCCCAGACTTCAGGGTTGATTCCCTCCTCAAGTAGGGGACAACAAATGGGTAACTTATTCCCCATATTCATGTAGATAATAGCTCCAGTTTTGGCTAATATATCCCTACCTAATAAGGGTGTGGGACTTTCAGGCATAACAAGAAAGGCACGTGAAAAGAGCAAAGTCTCCCAATTACAACTGAGGAGGTGGGAGAAATACCTGGTTACAGGCTGTCCCAGGATTCCTTGGATGGTAACGGTCCTTGAGGACAGTCGTCCAGGACAGGAAATTAACACTGAGAAGGCCATGCCAGTGTCCAGGAGGAAGTCAATTTCCTGGCCCTCAATGGTTAAATGTACTCGGGGCTCAGTGAGGGTGATGACATGAGCAGGTGCTTGCCCCGGGCACCCTCAGTCCTGTTGTTTGATCATCTGGTTGGGGGCTTCTGGCCCAGAGAACCATTGCACTCTGGAGCAGTGCACCTTCCAGTGATTACCTTGGCATCATGGACATGGACAAGGGGGCAGTTTGTTTCTTGTTGGACAATCTTTTTTAAAGTGTCCTTGTAAACCACCTTGATAACAAGCCCTCCCAGGTGATTGGTCTGCTCCATTTTTGTCCTTTCTGAATCACCAAGGTTTGTTTGTCTGAGGGCCATGACTAAGGCTGCGGCCTTTCTCTGATCTCACTTTTCCTTTTGGGCCTGTTCCTCTTGGTCCCTATTATAGAACACCGAGGTTACCAGGTTTAACAATGCCTCCAGATTTTGTTCAGGGCCGAGGGCTCATTTTTGGAGCTTTCTCCTGATATCTGCAGCTGATTGGGTAATAAACTTATCTTTTAGGATCAGTTGACCCTTGAGTGAGTCGGGTGACAGGGAAGTATATTTTCTTAAGGCCTCCGGTAGCTGCTTGAGGAAGGCAGAAGGATTTTCTTCCTTTCCCTGACTTATGGTGGACATCATTGAATAATTCATGGATTTTTCCTAATTCTCCTTAGTCCTTCTAGAACACAGGTTAGCAGATGTTGACGACTCCAGTCCCCATGATCTGAGTCGAGGTCCCAGTGGTGATCCATACTGGAGATGGCTTGTTGACCACTAGGGAATTTGTCCCTTTCTTTGGCTGACATTCTATCATTTACTTGACTAAGATACGAGGTATCTCCAAACTCTCAGGCTGCAGCTAAAGCCGCATTCTTTTCATTAAAGGCCAGGGTTTGACCTGACAATAGCATGATGTCTCTCCAAGTGAGATCAAAGGTTTGCCCTAGATCCTCTAGGACATCTATGTACCTATCAGGATCATCTGAAAACTTCCCCAGGTCTGCCTTGATCTGCTTTAAATCAGAGGGAGAAGGGGACATGTACCCGGGTTGGGCCAAATTCCCCTCCCCCTACAGCTTGAACGGGACATAACTGATAGCCTGGGGGATTTTGTGGTCCCTTGGAGATTTCTTTGCTTATTTCCTTCTGGGCAGGGGAGATTAGAGGAGGCTTATTATTAATAGGAAGGGGAGCAATAGAGAGGCTAGGATATGGGGGTAAGCTGAAAGGTCCTCCTGTGGGATGTAAATTGCAAGTTTTGCAAGTTGTGTATTCTCCTTCAATGAAAAGAAAGCTTGGACTTTAGGTATTTCACTTCGTTTGCCTTCCCTCTTACAGAAAAGGTCAAGCTGCAGGATAGTATTGTAATGTATACTTCCTTTGGGTGGCCATTTTTCCCCATCAGAGGGGGAATACTGGGGTCAGGCCATAGTGCAGAAAAAAAAATGAGCTGCCTCTTTTTCAGGGTTTGCAGGTCAAATTGGTCCCAATGGCTTAGGATGCATTTCAAGGGTGAGCCTGTTGATGCCTGACTGTTTCCCATCTGAAAGACAAAACCACCCGCGGTTTTGGTTTGGTTTGTTTTTCTCCCTGCCCAAGAACCTGCAATGGTCCCTGGACCCTGCTGATTAGAATAGTTGCACTCACTGACACAGCAGCAGAAACACTAATTTTCCTCCTAGACCACAAGGAGGACTGAGGAAGGTCGGATTTAGTGGCCCTCACTGATGCATTCTCAAAAACCTGCACCCTTGCCTGTCCTCCTAGACCAGAAGGAGGACTGAGAAAAATCAGGTTTAGTGGCCCTTACTGACACATTCTCGAAAACCTGTTAGAGTCCTAACATTCTCCTGTTAGTACTGGGACCTTACCCGTGTCCTATAAGGATGTTATGCCCTAAAAATGAAGTGGAGGGCCATACCCTGAGGGAGGGAAGGGATCTCCAGAGTTGGAAGAGTGATGCCTTTTGTCCTCACTTATATGAATAGGAAGGATACAATTTCTGAGGCTCCCCATATCCTAGCTTCAGCAATAGCTTTTGTTAGGCCTGCTTGTCTGAGGAGGGATCCTAAAATTCCAGATAGTCCCCACTACAATGGGGCTTTCAGCAAAAATTATGTCTTTCTGACTGGTGCCTAAAGAAGGTAACAGAGTCCTGGAGTTTATACTAGAAACCATTCTTACAGGAGAAACTAGAAAAGCACGAGAGACAGGGAGTGGTTTTTAGAAGCAGGACTAGCCTTGGAGAAGAGCAACGAGAGGAAGTTTGTCTGACAGGCATTAGGACCCAGGAGGCAAGGGTCAGGATAGATAGGATAGATGGACAAGTCTTGCTTGGGCGACATGACTTTGTGAGTTCCACTCATGGCCACAGGGTCAACCAACTTGTTGGGACCCTGGAGCTGAATGGTTTTCCTCTCTGTCAACCCTCAGCTCAGCCCAGAAGTACAGAAAAAGCGGAAGCTGGTTCCAGGCCAACCAAAGCTCCCAACTCTGAAGAGTTAGGGGTTGTTTAGAGCTCTTTCCCAGAAAGTCTGACACCCATGTCTTTAGTCCAGCGGCCGTGCTAGTTGCTTTTAACTGACTGACAGGTGCCTGGTATTTTGCCCCCAAATTCTAAGGAAAAATAGGACAGACTAGCAAGCGAAAGGGGTCCGATGGTACTCACCGCTTGGTGATTGTCCCATCTGGGTCGCCAAAATGTGTCCGGAATTTATTCCTTCCAGTGGGTTCTTGGTCTCGCTGACTTCAAGAATGAAGTCGCGAACCCTCACGGTGTTACAGTTCTTAAAGATGGTGTGTCCAGAGTTAGTTTGTTCGGATGTTCAGATGTGTCCGCAGTTTCTTCTTTCCGGTGGGTTTGTGGTCTCACTGACTTCAAGAGTGAAGTCACAGACCTTTGCAGTGAGTGTTACAGCTCACAAAGGTAGTGCGGACCCAAAGAGTGAGCAGCAGCAAGATTTATTGTGAAGAGCAAAAGAATAAAGCTTCCACAGTGTAGAAGGGGACCCAGTGGGTTGCTGCTGCTGGCTCGAGTGACCAGCTTTTATTCCCTTATTAGGCCCCACCCATGTCCTGCTGATTGGTCCATTTTACAGAGCACCGATTGGTCCATTTTACAGAGCACCGATTGGTCCATTTTACAGAGCACTGATTGGTCCATTTTACAGAGCACTGATTGGTCCATTTTATAGAGCACTAATTGGTCTGTTTTTATAGAGTGCTGATTGGTGCATTTACAAACATTTAGCTAGACAGAGAGCACTGATTGGTCCATTTTATAGAGCACTAATTGGTCTGTTTTTATAGAGTGCTGATTGGTGCATTTACAAACAGTTAGCTAGACACAGAGCACTGATTGGTGTGTTTTTACAGAGTGCTGATTGGTGCATTTACAAACATTTAGCTAGACACAGAGAGCTGATTGGTGCATTTACAAACTTTTAGCTAGACAGAAAAGTTCTCCAAGTCTCCACCGCACCCAGAAGCTCAGCTGGCTTCACCTGTCAGTAGTTTCCAAACTTTAATCACCAGGGAGACCAGTTAAGACACAGATTATTGGGACCCACTTCAGAGTTTGTGATTCTGTAGGCCTGGAAGGGGGCCCAAGAATTTGAATTTTTAACAAGTTCCAGGTAACACTGATGCTCTCTCTAGGGACCACATTTTGGGAACCACTGCTCTGGGGCTCTCCACTTGCAGATTGGCCCACCTGAGATTTGTAGTAATTTCAGACCTCTTGTTAAAGGAGACCTTCCATCTTCAGAGGAATGATGATCCCTATCTGCTTCCTGAACCACCAATTTGTAGGTGGGATCCAGATATGCCCCTTCCTGTTTGACAAGTACAACACATGCCCCTGGCTTTGTGCATCTCAGCTCAAATCCTCCTCCTCTCAGGCCAACCCTGCCCCTTCCTTTTCCCCATCCCTGTCTGACTGACTTCATTCTTTCTCATCTATCCCTATCCCTTCTCTGCTTAACGTCAAGGTGAGCCTTAAATCTCCTTCTATTCCATTGCACCTGAGATACTCCCACCCCACCTTGCAGTTAACTTGCTATACCCAGGTTCAACTCTTCATCCCTAGAAACTTCATTCTGCTTCTTTCTTTATCTAAGGCAATTCATTACTACACCTACAATTAATACAATTAACCAAATTCTTTCCACTTTGATGTCACTTCCTCTCTTAATCCTAACAGACTTAACTCTCCAAGTTCCATCAGTGTCTAAGTATATTTCTTAAACTCTTGCATGAGATTACTACCTGGGTTCCATTATTTGTTCATGGTATTGTTTCTAAGTTTGGAACTGAAAAAGAAAAAATTATTGGTCAAATAGCAACTGCAAATACAACTGAGATCAGCACCCGGCTTACCATAAACAAACCACTGCATCTGAAATCCTTTCTCATGGCGGCCAACCCCATCTGTAAGGAGCAGTACTTGAAGCTTGGAGCTTGTAGTACTCCCTGGAGGGGGCAGGTCTACTCCACAGTAGCGTCCCATCCGCCGTGGTCCATCATAGAGCTGAAATAGAAGAGAAACTTCCCCATGTAAAAACACATGGTTTGTTGGATGGAAAAAGCCAAGTCTACCCAAGTAGCAAAAGCTGTTCCTGAGATAAATCTGCTGAGGTGGGTCAAGTACACAGAACTCAACATAAGAATTAAAAATTGAAAATTGCATAGAGAGGGTTTTAGAGATGGATCTGCTTCCTAAGCCCAATAAATTTGGAAACTCAACTAGTAACTTTTGGTTTTATGTCAACATATCAAGTCCAAAGTATAAGTCAGGCTCAGAATAGGGAAATAGTAGGCATTCACATATTAACAACACATAGTGGGGCTCAATGAATAGCAGCTATTATAATTGTAAGATATAATTTTAAAATATTTAAAAATGTTTATGGGTACATAGTAGGTGTATATATTTATAGGGTACATGAGATACTTTGACACAGTAATACAATGTGTAATAATCATGTCATAGAAAATGGGGTAGCCATCCCCTCAAATATAATTTTTAAAATAAATGCTACCTGTAAAATAATCAAACATTTTAGAAATGTATGAAAAAGGAAAATACAAACATTGATTCGACTAAAGACAAACACTGTTAATATTTCATTAAATCCAAAAATTTCTCTTGATACTTTTTTCATTTGTATATACGTGTAATATACCTATTTGTGCAGGTGTATATATGTGTTTATACATTTGAGCTACGTATTTAATTGTGTTTCTTGTTTTTCATTGAACATATCACTAAATTGTCTGTGTAAACCTCGGCATAAAATGCCACAAATATAATGTATTTATATTATAATTCTATTGTTGTTTCATATAAGATATTTCCAATCTTTTGCTGATATAAATAGCTGTTTGATACTTTAAATGTTTCTTTTAAATGATTCCTAGAAAGGGAATAACAAACAGTATAATCATATGGCTCTTTATAAAATATTATTAAATTTCTTACCAGAAAGTTTATACCAACTTATCCTCCCACAAGCAGTTAACAGAGGTGTTTCTTTCAGCAGAGCTTTGTCAATTATGATGACGATCACATTTTAAACTAGTACTGGTAGTGAAAAATTGCTCTTTGGTAATTGTCCTAATTTGTGTTATTTTGATTACTTTGACATTGAAGGATTTTTTTTTTTTTTTTTCATGTTTAGGGGCATTTAGATTTCTTCTCTTGGAAATTGTTTACTGATGTCTTTGCTCAATTTTCCATTGAGGTATTTATACATCCTCAAGGAGAAATGGAGGGTGCAAGGTTGTGTCCCCTTAACCTACCTCATTTAATGATTTTATCAGCTGTATATCTCCAAACTGAAAAATAAAAATTGAAAACCTCTCTACTATATCTCTTCATTTGAGAAAGGTAATGGCAATCCAACAAGACTGGCTTCCTCGGGACTCAGGCCATTACATTTTCACCCAGTCGCCTTCATGTTCCCTTTAAACACTTTGTTCCAGTTACCCTTGGGATACGCTGCCCGTGCCAGTGAAACAGAAAATACCTGGCAATGGACTCATGGATTTCCTTGAGGATTCCCTTGGAGAGTACATCTACTTAAGAGTATGTGTGAATGTCTATGTGTTTGCACGTATCTGTGCATAAATGTATAATCTGGATTCAATAAATTCCAGACTGATAAATTATTTTCATTGAACAAAATGTTATGACATGAAATACTGTTTGAAACATATTGATTTGAGTGTGGAGAACTTTACCACCAAATGTTACAAAGCACCTCCATGGAGCCGCCCCTAATCCCTGCAGTCAGGCATAAATTAGTCTGCCTTTGAAAGTCCTTAGCTTTTCATCTGTGCTTCTTTTGTGGAAATGGTCACATCCCCAGGCATTCTTGTTACGGGCTTGTGTGTCTTACCTCCCCTACCGATTATGAGTTGCCTTAAAGCACAGACCACCTCTGGCCTTCCCCTCACTGCCCAGAGCAGGCCTTTGATAAAGGCAGCTTCCCCATGCATCTCCAATGAATGAACCCAGTGATTCCCCCACCAGCTGTATCTATTTTACTAGGACCCAATCTGCATGATTACTTGCACTCTGTATAGTTAGATAGGTAGTAATACCATACAATCCTCAATTTCAACAGGCTCCTCTTAGACCGTAAAGGATTTGGATCCTTTGTGCCACTCAGTAGAAGGGAGAACCAGGCAAGGGCCTTGTTCAAGGTCAGGATAAATTGCAGATTTTTAAACCTTGACCTGTCTCGTTGAGTTCTCAAATCGGCTGCTCATCATACGTGCTTGTGAGGTTTCAGGGAAGTCGGCAGAGATTTTTAAAAAGACAAGCTCAGAAGTCCATTATGTGATACACCCCGAAGTACTAAACCTAAGCATTTTAAGCAAATGAATAAAGATAAGTTTTATTTTTCAGGTTTATTGCTGTAGCTTCCCTTTTTTTTTCTGTTTTTCATACGCTGCTTTGAATGTGTATATTTTTTATCAAGTTTCTAATATTCTACACATTTATCAGAAAGCTCCCCTACAATGAAGAGGGGAGAATGAGAGAAGAATAAAGCAACATAAAAAGAAGAGGAAAACGAAACGGAACAGAAGCTTTTCACCTTAGTGCTCAGTCCCACCCTCTCATGCAGCCGGAGAAACGGGAGGGCAAGAGGCCAATCTTGCAGTCTGTGCTTCTAAATCCCTGCTTCCCTGCAGGAGATTCATCTCAGTTTTAGAGTTTTTCTTAATTCTAGGGCATGAAGTCCAGTTCTAAACTAATTAGCACAGAAACAAACATACTGCTCCCAAGTAGTGGAGTAATTAGCAAGCCAATGCTCTACCGTCTTCCACCCCCAAAATCTTAACCTTCGGATTGTAATTTAGTGACCACAGCATAAATTATTTCATTTTTGTCAGGCCTCCGAGCCAAGCTAAGCCATCATAACCCTTATCCAACAAAACATAAGATTTCTCCATAACTACAATCACCTTAAGCTCGATGGGTCTTACGGAATACTAGGTCGCAACATGTTGAGGAATCATATTTCAATTCTGCACAAGGTCATGAACAACATAGCATTTTTGCCTCTCAGCTCTGCAAGGTTAAGAGACGTGGCATTTTCACGTGACTTAGAGGAATTGTTTTTTTTTTCCTTCCTTCCGGATAGGATTATGCATTGAAGGAGACCCCTGAATCTCAGCTGTTCAGTGGTCTTTTATAACACATTGTAAAAGTACTGGGTGGGGGTGGAGGGGTTAGGCAGTAGGTTTGGGGGGCAACACTGATGAATGACAATTCTTTTATTTTTGCCTTTGAAGGGGAGAAAATTATGCATTAAAATAAACATCAAATAGACATTTATGAAAATGCTTAAATATAATGCCCTATCAAGTAATAAATAAATGTGTAGAACAATGTCTCGAAAGGAAAAAAAAAACCTCATAACTCATTTTTTAAAGTTTGTAGTTAATAAAATCAGGTTTTTTGTTTATATTCGCACAGATGGGTAATGTCACCTCTACAATTCATTCTCGCACAAATTGACCACCCAAAACCACACAAAAAGGAACAGGCATTTTTCAAAGTATACAAATACAGGTTACCATGGAAACCCGTCTCACGGATTCTGATTCTGTTTTCAGAGCAGAATGTTAACCACAGGACGTTCCAGCTGTGACTCATTGCAACTACTGACAAGCACGCTGGAGTGGCCCTGCTTTTAGAGAGCCTAAAGATCTACTCAGAGTGAGCAATACTTGAAGTTCTGAGTTACAGAAAGGAAACTAGTAAAACCTAAGAAAGATTGTGATTCTCACCTTGAATATGCAGATCTAATTTCTGTACTATGTTTACGGGTATTTTTCTAAATTACTAAAATAATGCTTACATTTTCAAATTGGCCATTAAATGTATCTTCAGATGTGGAGATGTGTGTATTACAAAACCTTCCTCGGTGAAATCTTTTGTTATTCTCTTAAGGAGATTATTCATTTAGGATTTTCGTGGCTTAGGTCCCCCCACCCCCACCCTACCCCAAAATATCTCAACTCCTCTTGACACACTCAGAGAGGAAGGAAATCTCTTGCCTGAGCCACACTTAACCAGTTTCTATCTACTTCCTTTGTGCGGGTTTGATAATTTGGCACGTAGTTTATAATACCATTAGTGAATTCAGACTCCAGTTGCAATAGGAAATGATCCATGGACTTCTAAATAGGAAGGACCCATAACAAAGGGTAGGATATAAAACTGAAGACACCAAGTGTGGTCAATCACTGATAGAGATCCAATTTTTTTGTAAGATTGAGGGTACTTAGGAGTCACTGCAAGTCAAGTTCTAAGTGAGCAGAGACCCACGCATTCCACTCCACCTGTCCCCTCAGTAGAAGTCAACTTTATGAATTGCAGGATCTCCAAGAACAAAAATATGCCTTTTAAGTGCCTTGCTTGCTAAATTGTTTTATGGCTACAAATTTAAAACTGTAATAAATTAAAATTTTAATTAATTATATATATGAGCTTGGGATGTAGAGATTAATTTTTTTCTTAACTATTTTTCTGTTTGTCTGAGACAGGATCTTGCTCTGTTGCACAGGCTGGAGTGCAGTGGTGCAGTAAGGTTCACTATAGCCTCACCCTCCCAGGCACAAGCCATCCTCCTGCCTAAGCTTTCTGGTGGCTGAAACTACAGGCATGCACTACCATGCCCAGCTATTTTTTATTTTTTGTAGAGACGGAGTTTCGCCATGTTGCCCAGGCTGGCCTCGAAATCCTGGGCTCAAGCAATCTGCACACCTCGGCTTCCCAAAGAGCTGGAATTACAAGTGTGAGCCACCATGCCCAGGCCCAAACTCATTTTAGAATCTCAGTGAGTGACAATTAAAACTCAGCTTTTCTGTTTTAGATTGACATCTAATTCATACTGTTTGTAAATATTGTTTCTTTTATTTCCTGGAAGGTTTTCTGGAAGAAAATTATTTTTTATAGATCAATTTTAAGAATTAAATATAGTCCATGTAGAAAAAGCAACTCAAGAGTTTCTTTAG